TGATGCCATGCCCACCTCGGGACTCGATCGCGAAGCCACAGCTGAAGCGGTCTCATATGAAGCAATCCGAGTGGCGTTGCCGCGGCTGCAGATGCCATATGCCCCAGGAGCCTCTGAAACAATTTCAGTGGGACCGCACTCTTGCCATCGAACTGTCGAAGACAAGTCAGCAGAGAGTGTGCGCGCTCGCTCGTAAGCTGCGCGAACATGGCGACCGAGTCGATCTCCATACCAAGAAAAGGCCCAGACGGGCTAGGTGCCAGAGCACAAGGTCTCTGTGTTCGCAAACCTGATCTCGAGAGTGAGCTAATATTAGCCAGTTGTCGAGATAATTCAGGATGCGAACCCCGTGTTCGCGTAGGGGAACAAGGGCTGCCTCGACGACCTTCGTAAAGACGCAAGGAGACAGAGCCAGCCCGAATGGGAGAACCGCGTACTGGTATGCCTGCCCCTCGAAAGCAAACCGAAGAAACGGTCTGTGTCGAGGTAAAATGGAGACATGAAGTAGGCGTCCTTCAGGTCTATCGCTGCAAACCAATCCTGTGGCCGCACACATTCGAAAATGCGTTTGGTCGTGAGCATCTTGAACGGCAGCCTGTGAAGGGAGCGGTTCAAGACGCGCGGACCCAGGATTGCCCGTAACCCACCGGTCTTCTTGGGGACAATGAAGTACGGGCTGTAAAACCCTGACCTCATTTCGGCTGGAGGGACAGTCTCGATTGCACCCTTCGCCAGCAGGGTGGCAACCTCCGCTCTCATGATCGGGGCATTGCCACCGACCATAGTAATAAGGACTCCCCTGAAGCGGGGAGGAGACCGTGCGAATTGGATCGCATAGCCGAGCCTGATAGTTCGGGCGACCCAGCGGGACAGGTTGGGAAGCTCTAACCAAGCTCCCAAGAACTGAACCAGCGGAATCATCCGAACCACAGACGTCCCCCCGGAGGGGCAGCGAAGCGGAGTGACCGGCCCAGGCGTAGGTGGCATAGCGGCCCGGTGCGGGGGCACGGTCATGCTCCGCGTCCAGGGAAGGACCAGCATTCCACGGGGGTCTGCTCTGCCAGGGGTCTGGCGACAGAGGGGGACGAGAGTGGTGTGGTCCGGAGACGGCACACACTGTCATCCGCGCCCTCAGAGACAGAGGGGGACGAGAGTGGCGAGGCCTGGGAGCGTCGCGCACTGTCGTCCGGCCCTTTGAGGGCTCAGAGATGGGATGCAGCTCTTTGGTTTAGAAAAGATTCTCCCCCAGCCCTCCACCGGGGGAATGAGTGGCCCTGCAACCACTCCCTGAAGAACTGCAACCCACATCTGAGCTGCCCGTAACGGGAGCGCCGCAAGCCTGGCGTTAGCGGGGCTGCGGGGCTGGTACGGGCAGGGGCGCCTTCCTGCGACCACCTCCACGACGCGGCCCGGTGCTGCTGGGGGCCGGGCGGGAGGGGGCGGAAGTCGCAGGAGGGCGCATTCGGCAGCAAGCGGACTGAGGCGTCTGAGCCGGCGGCTGGAGGCAGCAGAGCCGCGGGGTCAGACAAAATAGCCACAGTCCACTTCTGGGCGGCCGAGAACTGTTGGGCAGAGTCCTCGACCGCGCCGCCGAAGAGGCCAGCCTGGGATATGGGGGAGTTGAGGAAACGTATTCACGCAGCCTCGCGCACATCAACCAGGTTAGCCAGAGATGTCTGACCACCTATGTGGACATCACCTGACTCAGGGAGCGTGCGGTCACCTACGTCACTCGTAGACCAAGGTCGGTGACGGCAGGCAGCTCAAGGATGAGCCCTGAATCAGCCCTACCCTCGTGCATGTCATTGAACACCCAGAAGGATGGTAATAACACGCAGTGAGGTGCCAGCCTGCCCCGCAGCTCTATAGGTTGCCACAGAACACTCCACAGGGGGAACCCCAGTGTACCCTAGGCCGTGGCCTCTACAAGGGCAGAGAAGGCGGAAGAGGCCACTGAGCAGTCGCGAAAAGTCAAAGGAGACTTCCACGATCTCATGATCTCTTCATGCACGTCCGGGTAGAAAGGATTTGGGTTCGCCACCCCCAAAAACCAATCATCAGCCTTAAGTGCTCGGGACATGGCAGAAGGTTCCACACAAGCCCGATACTCGCGGCAGCCCGGGAAAGCATAGCTGTGCACTCTGGATCAAACTCGTTATGCTAGCACATCCGAGGACGGCAGCACAGACGAGCCATCATCTCTAGAGGACTCCAGCTCACCTTGTGATGCGGTGATATACATGAATTCATCAGCCGGGGACCAAACTCCCCCTGGGACCACGCGGGTTGCAATGTGAAAGACGGGGTGTGGACCGAGTAATTTTCGTCGGTTTAGTTCCAAACCTGCCGTCTTAGGTCACCCTGGCCACCAGCCGAAGTATTATCTCACGTGGAGAAAAATAGATCGGGGTGTGGATGAGGGGACTCTCACTCCATTGAGCTCATCGAGTCTCGACCATTACATTGCGATGGTCACGTTCCCAGTGAGAGAACGTGACACACCCACGAGCGCTGTCTGAGCGCGATCAAAGCCCAAACACTCAAAACAGTGCTCGCGCCCATCAGCTGAATCTATCAGAATACCACACTCAGAAATAGAAAGACGCGTCTTTAAAAAGACGTGCCGCGTGCAGCTCTTTAGTGAGAGGAAAAACTCTGCAGATGTTGAAGCGACCAGGGAGAACACACAGACTGGCAGACCACTGCTCAGCTCGCAGGCAATGTGAAACTCGCTGGATACCGCCGTCACACCAACACCGGAGAGTTCGCTCGTCTCGAAGAGATGTAGTCACTGAAGAAAACTCAGGGTTTGGCTTGTGGAGTGAAGAGATGCTCTTGGCTCTGAAGCGAAAACATGATCTGCTTTTGCCGGTGTCTCTCCTTAAATACCCACGCGGTGGGGCGGAGATACGCTATGCAAATTCTGGCGAAACCCCCATTCACGTAACTCGGAGTGACTACGAAAGGGAACTTAGTTTCTCCCATCACTTATAATTTGAATTATATGTTTTATATATTAATACCAATAATAATAATAATAATAATTTTTGCTCATGGTTTAACTGAATCATCGAAAGTCAGAAGCAAGTACATTGGTCAATAAAGTGAGATTAAATGCATAAATATTTTTATTTAAAAAATGTTTTATTTAACATATTTAGTTATTGGAGGTTTGCAAAGTATTCTGATTCTGCATTTCACTGATGTTATTCATTTTAAGGAATATTTAATCTTTTTTTGTGTGCATGTGAGATGAGTAAATGCACGCTCACATTACAACGCCTCTGCACTTCGATTTGTCTCATGGGGATAAATGGGAAAAATAACTTCCGTTACTTATTTGAAAAAGTAACTCAGATATTTTGCTGTAAAAGTAATGCGTTACTTTACTAGTTATTTGAAAAAGTAATCTGATTATGTAACTCAAGTTATGAGTTACCCCCAACACTGCTCTTACATCGTTTTTGGTAAACATTTACACACATACATACATCACAAAGATGGATTCTGCCTGTATACGCGAAGTTGACTGTATGTTTAAAATATCTTCTTATTAAACTGTCTGTACACTTACAAAGTTCTCAATGCTTCGGTTTGAAGGTAGGGACACTCATTATCCTACCGTGTTAGTGTGGGTCTATTTTCAGCCTTGTTAGTGGTATTAACAAGCGATTTTTATTTGTCATTACACTATGCCCAATATACTAGCGTTATACTAGCTTTATAGGCTAAACTGTTTTTAGAGATAAAACTATTTACATTCGATAATCATGAAAACAAATCTCAGATAACGGTTGACTAGGTAACAATGTGTAATTAGACCAAAGGTTCATTTTGCGCCGGAGTTCTCCTTTAAGATTCAGTGACAGCGGGAATATAAGACATCATTCAGAGAAATGTTTCACTTGAGGATCAGGATCCAGAACAGTGTTTTCTCAGAGGAGTTTAAGAAAGAAGCTTCACTCAGATACTCATGTAAGTCTGAGAACATTTACTCATTTACTTCTGTTCATTTCACTAATACTGGATCAAACGTCACATCAGACAGAAGGACGAGTATAGCTTCCTGCTGAAAAAAACAGCTTATTTATATTAATATACGTCAAACCTGATGATTTTTTTCAGTGAAACAAGCACAATATTTTGCACACAATATTTGGTATACTACAGTTAAAACATGTTATTGGTTTACTACATGGTAAAAAAAAACTGCAAATGTTTCATCATATTAATTTAATTGTGAAATAAATGTATGGTTTTGGCAAGTAAAAACTATGAATTACCAGATAATTTAGGCAATAAAAACAGTAAAAGTCGTTACACACCACACATGATTAAATTGTTTATAAATAATTCTTATCAGTAATGCACATTGGTGTGTTTTGAATGACATTTGATGAAATTTAGTTAATGTTTATTGCATTATTTTAGTGTTGTGTGTTACTCTGATGGTGTTTTGTATTTGTGCTTGACCCTGTGCACCGTCTATATGAGTATTAATCATGTTTTATTAATAGGCCATTTCTATTGTGCCTCCTGTATTATTATGGTGGTTATTGGTACATTTTAAAGTAAAGGCAAATTTGGAAAGTTAAAGTATATTAACATTGTATAACTTAATGAAATATAAGGTTGACAAACTGTTAAACTGGAACTAAACTGGAAGAATTTTTTTACAGTTTAGTCAAACCAATGAAAATGATAAATAAAATGCTTTTAAAATAAAATAAACGGTAAAGATACAATAAAAAGTCATATCTTTTATTGATGAATAAAAGTGCATATATGAAAGACAGATGATTAGAGATTCAATGACTAAGATCAGAAACATCATGATATTAATAATGGTGAAAACTCAGCAGAAGATCAGGAGTGTTGATTATAGCTTACCGGAGTAAATTTAAGAACGAATATTTGCGCGTGTCTGATCAGTTCACGTGATTCCTGTTGACATCACTTACGTCTGATGTCATACGTAGAAAGCTTGGCGTACGGAAGCTGAAGAGTTACGATACTTTCTGTTGACAAAGTAGTATTTCACCCTAATTAAAGTATTTTCATGCAATAAAGTAAAATAAAACATATATTGATAATATTGGGCCACCATGATGGTCAGGTATGTTTGTTGAATGCAAAACATAAAACAGTGAATCATTTTGCGAAAGAAATTGGTTCAATTTATTCAAAGTTACGAAAAACTTAGTTTCTCCAATCACTTATAATTTGAATTATATTTTATATATTAATACCAATAATAATGAAATAATAATTTTTGCTTATGGTTTAACTGAATCATCGAAAGTCAGAAGCAAGTACATTGGTCAATAAAGTGAGATTAAATGCATAACATTTTGTATTTAAAAAATGTTTTATTTAACATATTTAGTTATTGGAGGTTTGCAAAGTATTATGATTCTGCATTTCACTGATGTTATTCATTTTAAGGAATATTTAATCTTTTTTTGTGTGCATGTGAGATGAGTAAATGCACGCTCACATTAAAACGCCTCTGCACTTCGATTTGTCTCATGGGGATAAATGGGAAAAATAACTTCCGTTACTTATTTGAAAAAGTAACTCAGATATTTTGCTGTAAAAGTAATGCGTTACTTTACTAGTTATTTGAAAAAGTAATCTGATTATGTAACTCAAGTTATGAGTTACCCCCAACACTGCTCTTACATCGTTTTTGGTAAACATTTACACACATACATACATACGTTCATAAACAGCACATCTGTGTACTGAAATTGAATTGGTGTGCACATTCTGAACGCCACTGTCTCATCGTCATCTAACCCCTGAATGGGCCTACATTAAAAGGTTATTTTGAATAGTATCTGAGGGATTCATTGGGTTTATATGGTGGAAAAATAACAATCGAAGCCTCTTGAGGGCAGCAGAGGAAACATATTACACTCTGTAGTCCTGTGTTGTCCCATGAGGTGAAGTTAGGTTTGAGTTTCCACATCAAGCTTATAAAACTCAATATAAATTCATCAGATACTGGCATCAGGTCAAACCTGTGCAAACTATTGAAGAAATCAAACTGAATGTATGTGTGTATTTCAGAAACAGCCTGATGATTAGATGTATACAGCAAAACAAAAGTAATGTGCCAATGAATTAAAAAAGTTTAACTTTATTTTAAAAAGCAACATGCAACTGAACCTACATGCTGATACTGTATGTGTACAAACAAAGTTTGACAGGCAAATTTATTACAAGACTGTGAGCTTTTGCTTTCTCTCTCTTTATTTAGACAAACAAAACTTGTACTTTCTCCTTCCACCATATTTTTCCTCCTCCCACCAGTCTCTTCCTCCTCCCATCAGACTCTTCCTCCTCCCATCAGTCTCTTCCTCCTCCTCCCATCAGTCTCTTCCTCCTCCCACCAGATCATCAGGTAATATCAGCCTCAGTCTCTCAGCTCTTCTTCAGTCTGTCAGGATGAAAACAAGAGAGAGGAACTGTGAGAAAGATCTTGCTGGACTGAGATCAGATATGAAAAAGAAACAGGTAATATCTTGTTGTAGATGATTAATTCGTTAATACATTTTTGAAAACCATTTTTAAAAGCCGGGCTGCATTTCCTTGTTAAATTCAATTCTCTCTCTTTCATTTTTTGTCTGTAGGTCAGAATGAAGATGTTGCTGGAAGCTCTGCGTTCTTGTCGTGCTCTTACAGTAGTAATAAGCTAAAGTCAAGACATGAGTGTGTATTAAGATTCAGTGACAGCGGGAATATAAGACATCATTCAGAGAAATGTTTCACTTGAGGATCAGGATCCAGAACAGTGTTTTCTCAGAGGAGTTTAAGAAAGAAGCTTCACTCAGATACTCATGTAAGTCTGAGAACATTTACTCATTTACTGCTGTTCATTTCACTAATACTGGATCAAACGTCACATCAGACAGAAGGACGAGTATAGCTTCCTGCTGAAAAAAACAGCTTATTTATATTAATATACGTCAAACCTGATGATTTTTTTCAGTGAAACAAGCACAATATTTTGCACACAATATTTGGTATACTACAGTTAAAACATGTTATTGGTTTACTACATGGTAAAAAAACTGCAAATGTTTCATCATATTAATTTAATTGTGAAATAAATGTATGGTTTTGGCAAGTAAAAACTATGAATTACCAGATAATTTAGGCAGTAAAAACAGTAAAAGTCGTTACACACCACACATGATTAAATTGTTTATAAATAATTCTTATCAGTAATGCACATTGGTGTGTTTTGAATGACATTTGATGTAATTTAGTTCATGTTTATTGCATTATTTTAGTGTTGTGTGTTACTCTGATGGTGTTTTGTATTTGTGCTTGACCCTGTGCACCGTCTATATGAGTATTAATCATGTTTTATTAATAGGCCATTTCTATTGTGCCTCCTGTATTATTATGGTGGTTATTGGTACATTTTTAAGTAAAGGCAAATTTGGAAAGTTAAAGTATATTAACATTGTATAACTTAATGAAATATAAGGTTGACAAACTGTTAAACTGGAACTAAACTGGAAGAATTTTTTTACAGTCTAGTCAAACCAATGAAAATGATAAATAAAATGCTTTTAAAATAAAATAAACGGTAAAGATACAATAAAAAGTCATATTTTATTGATGAATAAAAGTGCATTTGAAAGACAGATGATTAGAGATTCAATGACTAAGATCAGAAACATCATGATATTAATAATGGTGAAAACTCAGCAGAAGATCAGGAGTGTTGATTATAGCTTACCGGAGTAAATTTAAGAACGAATATCTGCGCGTGTCTGATCAGTTCACGTGATTCCTGTTGACATCACTTACGTCTGATGTCATACGTAGAAAGCTTGGCGTACGGAAGCTGAAGAGTTACGATACTTTCTGTTGACAAAGTAGTATTTCACCCTAATTAAAGTATCAACTCAGCAGAAGACCAGGAGTGTTGATTATAGCCTACCGGAGTAAATTTAAGAGAAATGAATAGGCTTGTTTGAGATGAGCAAAATCTGCGCAGAACCGATCACCGGTGATCAGTGCGAGATGCATGCCGGTTAGAAACATAGACTGTAAAAAAAGATGGACGACGCCAATTCGCTCTTTTCCATTGGAGAGAACTGAAGCCGCCAGCGTCCTGATATGGCGCTGACATATTGGAACTTGGTTAGAAATATGTCCGAGTGCGGTCCGTCTTGTGCCCTGTCCCAAATGGCACACTTCATGTGCACTTTCGGTCTTGTGGACTTACAATGGCTGCCGCGTGCGCGTGTCCGTTAAGTCCGTGAGACCGTAGTGTGTCCCATTTGTCATTTTTAGATCTCAGAAGGGTGCTCGCGAGCGCCCCCTCTGCGGTCGATTTGCGCCCTTGATGCGCACTTTTGCCGAGCCCGCGCTGATGCGGACTCCACAGCAGACTTCTTCCCGACATTTGGCGTTACGTCCCGAAAGTGCGGACTCAGAGGAAGACCGCGAGTGCTTAGGGTTCCATTTGGGACAGGGCAGAAGTGTGCCATTTGGGACAGGGCCTTGCTCTGATGTCTTCTTCTTCTTCTTCTTCTTTCTTTTAATGGCGGTTGGCAAACAACTTTTAAGTGGGCATTACCGCCACCTTCTGATATGGAGTGTGGATAATAGCCTTTCCTCACTACCTTTAAATAAATATATAAATAAATAAATACATACATCCATAATAAAACCAATAAATAACTTCATAAATATTTAATTACATTATTACTATTCATACATGATCATTATTATTAAATACAACTTTCTAAGACAACTCAACTCATATTCTTCTACTAAGCCCTGTTTTACTCAAAAACACAAATATCGCTCTATACCCTACATGTCCTGAATTCATTTGTAATATTTCCTTCATTTCAAATCTAATTTTTTCTTTTCTAAACCAGTTTTTCAACCTCATCCTTTCCTCCTTATACTTATGACAATTTATAATAACATGTTCTGCTGTTTCATTAATATTACAGACCTCACACATCCCGTTTTCATGTTTCCCTATTAATGTAAGCTTACTATTCAATCCAGTATGCCCAAATCTCATTCTTGAAATAATGTCCTCTTCCCTTTTATTCCTATTATTTTCTCTCATACCTCCTACCCTCTTTTGGATACTGTAATACATTCTTGCTTTTGTTTCTTTATTCCACTCCTCTTGCCACTTCTTTCTCATTTCTTCTTTGATGCTTTTAACTTCCGCCTTACTATAACTTATTACCATATCTATCTCTGTTCTTTTGGTTGCATTTTTGGCATATTTGTCTGCCATTTCATTTCCTTCTACTCCTATATGAGCTGGAATCCAGATGAATTTTACTACTACTCCTACTCTATTAACTCTATAAACAGCTTGAGCTATTTCCAACAAAATATCATGTCTTGCTTCGGATTGCATGTTCTTAATACTGGTTAACGCACTACTTGAATCTGACCCAATTAACACTTCCCTTGACCTACTATTTTCAACCCACTCAAGGGCTAAGAGAATGGCCAGCATTTCTCCTGTATACACTGACATTTTATCATTTACTCTCTTATTTAACATAACATTTACTTCTGGTATAATGAACGCAGCTCCTACTCTATTATCTTCTGTTTTTGATGCATCTGTATATATCTTAAAGGGGCATTATGCAGAAATCCCGTTTTTGTCAAACAGCGACCCCTAGAGTTACTGTGGAGTACTTGAATTTAACGTTACTGTCGTAAATACCACTCACTCAGAGCGTGACATGGCCTGTTACATAGTACAATAGTACATTGTGTTTAATTTGTCGTTTAATGAGATATAATATATGTTGTTAGTGGTGAGAATTTTCACGTGATTAAATACATAGATCCGACAATTTTAATGGTCCAGAGGCAGAACTTTTGCCAAGTGTGTCAGAGGTTCTGGGTTCTAATCGGTACTAGTAGTATAGTTTATGTTCCTCATCAAAACCGATTGTTTATTAGTGGTTGTATTTCAAGCAGGGACATGTTTTTTGTGCATTAGATTTTGTGATTTCACCATAACAAAATATAGAGAGTCTCTCAGTCCCCGCAACGGATTCAGGCGCGCGTCACAACAGAACACTGTAACTTATCTGCACCACTGATCGC